AAATCTTGTTAGAGCTAATCAGAAAGGTAAGCTGTTTTATTTAGGCTTCTTTCAAACTGTATTTGGGAAATGTGCAAAACCATATTGAAATATTTACACATTGTTACAAAGGACAGAGACCATTTTATTAAAGAACAGAAGTGAGCTCACAGGCTTAGTTTGCATAAGCTAATGCATCTTGACTTGAGAAGTTTACAGATAATGTCATTTGTGAGTGGAGTGGCCCCTAATTTCAGCATTTTAACAAGTATGCTGTCTTCAACTGGGTGTAAAACAGGTTCTCATATGTACGTACATATATATGTATGTATTTGTGTACATATCTTCTTGTGAAATGCTGGTAGACTTTAAAATTCTATAATAATAAAGTAAATACTGATCTGTAGCATTTCATCATTTTAGCAGCAAAACAGATGAGATACTGTATGTCGGGTCTGCACCTGAGTGTGCCTGTTTTATTCTGCTCCATTTCCCAAGCCTAGAACCTCTTCCATGTGGAAGAGCTGCCCTGTGTCTATTTGGCAGATGAGGACTTTGTGTGAGGCTTATTTATTTGATGACCTGTTACCAATTACCTGAAAATGGAATTCATTTCTATTTAAGTTTAGTGAACAAGTCTATGGTTCTGGTTCGTAAAGTACTAATTAGTGGGAAACTGGAAAAGAACTGAACACTGTTAGTGTTTTCAGTTATAGTTTTGTGTGGGATAACTTTCTAGAAATATGAGTGTGCTCCCTAAGGAGTAAAGGTGGGGTTGGAATATCACTTGGCAGTGAGCCTTTGTGATGGCTTGCCTACAGCTGATGTGTTCCACCCAGAGGGAAACCAGCGCCCACTGCAACAGGCTGAAGTGTGAGGTGTCCTGTGTCAGAAACGGGAAGAGCTGTCGGGACAGCAAGATAATCAAGAGGGTTTTTATGATTGTGTTATAAATAATGTATTTTCCTTCATGAGTGACTTATTACAGAGTCAAAATAGCTTCATTTTTACTTCAAAATAGCCATGCACATTATAATCATAACCACACTTCCTGGTGTGTCTGTGAATGTGCATTCCATTTGTCCAGCATTTAAAACAATCTCTAGTTTTACCTTCCTTCCCTTTTGTAGCCTACTGGTATTTGGTTCAATCTTCAGTAATTTTGATGACAACTTTTCTTCTAAAAGAAGCACCCCAATAGTTCTACATCAGCATTGCTAAGCGGGGAGGCCTGTGGGAAGCTCAGCTGGCTCCCCTGACCCTCACTAATGGTAGTCAGGTCAGTTTATGTTGGGGTTAGTTGGTCTCTGTCTGCAGCAGTTCTCATGTACTCTTCAGTGTTGACATTGTCACATGGACAAGCATAGCTCCTCCAGAACATCTCCTTTTCCTCTGGTCACCAGTCAGCATTCCCTGGGACACCAGCAAACTAAATTTGCACAGCCCTAATGGGTCTCAGATGCTAATTTGTAGTGTCTTTTTTCACAGGTCATGGCATATTGAGAGACAGTGTGTAAATGACTTGTCTTTTAAGTTTAGTCTTTAATTGGTAGAATATGTAAAACAAATTCTGAGTGTGGGTTTGCTGTTACCTGGATGAAGCTCCTGTAGAATGTGCGATACATTTTCTGTTCTGCATTGTCTTGTACACTGGAAATCACCTGACTAAAGCCCACTAAAGGCTGTTCCATCCCTCCTCATTTCACAAAACCAACGGGTCCTGCTTCCATTGAAAAGAACTCAGCAGTATTTGCAAAAATGGTGGTAAATGTCATACAGAGTGTATTTGTTAGGATTATCTGTTTATTGCTGTTATTGTTTGATGTTACAAAAGTCTCAGTTTAGAGTAAATTTCCTTGTTGCAAGAGCTGTGCTCATTTAAAAGGTGGCTGCCTCTTCAGAAGGGTCAAGAAATGCTGTCTGCTCGATGAGTGTAGACACAGTGTGTTTCAGTTTACAGGAGATGGTGCTTTTAAAGTAGGACAGTTTGAACGTAGGATACAGTTCTCAGCTGTATCCTGTACAGCGTGAGAATCAGTCCTTAGGCATAATCAGTCTCTAGGCAGACTGAAGGCAGAACATTTTAGATGAGGGCAAATCCATGGACCTGTGAGCGCGCACGGTGGGGATTGTGAGTGTATTCACGGAGCCAGCAGGGTTTTCTAATTGTGGGCAGAGATCAGGTTTGCAAACTAAAACGACTGCTTTTACTGCAGAATCTCAGTTGATTTCATTAAAACAAACAAACAAACAAAAAATAACAGGAACAAAGGATCACAAACATAGTCTCCCTGAAGAAAAATTGAAGCTATGAGTCCTTAACTGCTTGAGTGAGCTGTGTCTGTCTAATCCCATCCCAAGGGAGACAGGGTTTCTGTCTTTTCTCTGCCTAGCCTCTTTAGGGTAGAGACAGAACTTTTAATGAAACTTTAAAGAGGGAAGAGGAGGGTCGTGTGCACCATTCTGCTGGCTGTGTGTGATGACCATCTGAAGAAGTGGCAAGTCTAGAATGTACAGCAAGAGCATTGCAGATGAGATGACTGGCTTCACACTAGCCATTTTATCACTGAAGGCTCACTTCACAAGTAGTTCCTGGTCCTTTTGACAGTAAGTGTGCTACAAAGTTGATCACTTCTCTGAATTTGATGGTTCATCACTTCCCTTAGCAACCCTGTCCCTACCCCCTGCAACTGTCCCAAATAATCTGCCCTTCTATTAACTACTTTGCTCCTTGACTTGAAGTTATAGGAAGAGAGAATTGAATGAGATTGAGAAACCAAATGTCACACGTGTGAGATGAGGCCTGGGCTGGGTTGCACATAGGGAATAGTGACAGAAAAGCAGGAGAACAACTTGTTTAAGAGATTATGAACGCAAAGGAGAAAGGGAGAAGTCCGATGATTGAGTATATGATGCCATCAGTGGAGGTACTCAATTGCATGCACTGATGTTAGAATTTCGGTTTGGCTATTTTGTGAAGACTTTGGAGAGCGTTCCAGTAGGAATGCCTGTTTTCAGGTCGACCTTAATATACCACAGGCATAGTATGAAGAAGAGGGGAACTGCGTGCCTGTGAGTGACTTCTGTGAGTGACTCCGGGTACAGGGCTGAAAGTGCTCATCTAGGCACAGCTCTGCTTACTGCTTCAACTCAGCTGACTGGGTAAGTGATAGGCAGGGAGAAGGATCTGAGTGAACCCTGAGGACCACAGAAGCGGAATGACAGATGATGGCACATAAGGAGTCTAAAGCTGTTGCTGGATTTCTTCTCCCTGGCGGAATGCTGGGAGTCACAATGCCCTTATCATCCGTGCGCTCTCACAGGGTTCCTTACCGCTGGGAGTTCAGCTCCAGTTGATGGAGCATTAACTAGTTAGGAAGTATAAAACCACTGGTTTTACATTTATAAGATTTTAAATTCAGCAGCAGCGAATTATACCTTAATTTATTGTATATCACATCGCATGTTATATCTTTAAAGGAAGTTACTGTGAGTGAACTAGCTTGAATGTTGTTTTGAGGCCAGTTCACCTGTCTGAGATTCATTTTTTTTTTATTCCAATATTTTTGGAATAAGTTACCGAGATTCTCATGTGTTCACTGCATTTATTTATCCGGTCTAAAGTCTTTGAGTCAGTACAGGCTTGGGCTTATTTATGAAGCCCACACAGCATAATAGTGGTCATTTGTGTCATTTGCAGGTAGGTGATGCCTAGTGAGCCATTGGGAGCCTGAGATCAGTGGCTATAGTAATTATCTCCACTGTTGGTCCACAGGAACAGCGTGTTGGACAGACACCATGGCACTTTCTTTCTTACAGTGACTCCGTCCCACGCTTTAGAATAGCATTCTTCAAGCAGGGCTTTATTTTCAGCAAGTATTTGAGAGCTCATTGGGTGCTGGGAGTCATAATAGTAAAAAGTGTTTTACAAGTCTTAGAATTTATTATAATTCATCCTTAGCAAAATTCACTCCTGCTTAGTGTTCTGAGGGTTCTGGGTGGCTAGTCTTCTGTCAGTCTCCTCTGATCATCACCCTTCTCAAACTTTGATGGAAGCATGCATTTTTGTTATACAGTTTAATTTTTTTTTTTTGATTTTCTGCATGTTATACTTCGTATTGGAATTACTTCATTGTAGTTGCTTATCTGCCCAGTTGTAGTCTGATCTCCTCTTTGGTAATGTATCTATTTGTAGGTACACTGTTGAAACATGACCAGAGACATTGACAATTCTTTTCATCAAGACCAGTAGGATTTTTTAATTAAAAGTTTTTAGTTTTAATTATGTGTGTATGTTTGTTGGGGCTAGGACTTGTGCATATGGGTACAGCACCAGAGGATGTCAGTCTGGTGTGTTGGATCCCCTGGAGCTGTAGGTACAGGCCATTGTGAGCTGTCCAATACGGGTGCTGGGACTGAACTTGAGTCCTCTGCAAGATCAGTATGCACTCTTAACTGCTGTACCATCATTGCAGCCCTTGGTGGAAGATTGTATATTCTGTATTTCAGGGTAACTTTCCATAAACAAGTAGAGATGGAATCTTCGTAAACAATATCAAAAGGTGTCCTCATCTACTCAAAGAGTTCTGCTCTGCTGACCTGGACTATAGATACAGGCTCTTTCTGGTTTCCAGTAAGGAGAATGAATGCTTTCAACTGCTTCTCAGATCCCTACGCATGTGCACTGTGCCTTGTCTTGCTCTGCGACTGCTAGTCCACTGCTCTCCTTTCTCCCACTTCCTTAAAGGGTGGGCTTCAGTAGCTTCTTCCACCCGCAGAACCCCAGACCACTCTTCCTTACAGGTCTTCCAGATACCTGTATTGTTTCTGACAACTGGGGACGGCAGTTGGGCCTACTGGTTGTGTCCACTTGGGGCTGGCTGTCCTCTTTTTTTTCCTCTAGGGAAAGCCCTTATCTAAAGGAATCATGAGCGGTAGGTACACTTTATGGTCATGTCATCGAGAGTATGCAGAGATGTAAAGCTCTTAGTTTAATTTATTTAATTTACTTGATTTCTCAGATGTAAATGAAGATCAAGGGTGGATTTGAAGAAATGCAAAGTGAGTTGTTGCCAGTCAGCATGTCCGAGACCGAGCACATGGCCTCAATTTCTTCTGATGCAGACACTGGGAAAAGCCCTGAGCTAGAGGAAGACTCGGGCAACCCATTTTCTGGTGATGAAAGCAACAAATTAGAAACCAAATCTGAACTGTTGTCATTGAACTCTGACAAAATTTTATGTCAACCTAATGAACACAGTAACCAAATTGAACAAGAAAACCATATTACAGACTGTGGTGGTGGTGAGAATTCTTGTGCTAAAACAGACACATGCTCAGAAAACTCTGAACAAGCAGATGATATTCCTGCTGGGGACTTTGCAAAACAACCATCAAAAACAAGTGACCCGGAACCAACAACGGTGACACAGATACTGGCAGAGTTAAGGTCGTCTGCATTCACAGAAGCCAGTAATGCAAAGCCTTCCTCTGGGGCAAGCCTCTACGATACGGACTGCACCAGGACACTCCTTTCTCAGATAAAGACTGCCTCAGCATCAGAAGATTTGTTGGGAGAAATCGAGACTGAGCTCTTATCTGCAGAGTTCACCGAGGAACACCAAGTACCAAATGGGGTAAATAAAGGAGAGCAGGCCTTAGCCCTGTTTGAGAAGTGTGTGCAGGGCAAGTACTTGCAGCAGGAGCTCACTATCAAAAAGTAAGTCTGGTGCCGTGGGAAGACACAAGGGCAAAGCCACAGCTGTTTTAAGGGCAGTAGCCTCCTGTCTGCTCTGCATTTCAGAGTGCAGCATGCACATAGCTGGTGGGTGGATGAGCCTGCAGGACTACAGTAAATAGTGGCGCTCATTGGGAGTGAGGTCTGTTAGAAAGCAGGTTATGGCAGAGTAAGTCCAAGAGGGGTTCAGAGTCATGAAATTTAAGTTTGGAAGCTTAGAATTTGGAGAACAGAGTAACTAGTTGATTGAGCATATTGTACTTTTAGACTTCTATTTGTACAGTGTTTGATGATAGTTTGATTTTCTTTAGCTTGTTCTTTTGGTTTGGTTTTGGTTTTCAAGACAGGGTTTCTCTGTGTAACAATCTTGGCTGTCCCTCTGTAGACCAGGCTAGCCTCTGCTTCTGCAACTCTGCCTCCTGAGTACAGAAGTTAAAGGGGTACACCATCACCACCCAGATTAATTTTGCTATTTTTTATTTAAATTTTGAACTTTTTAAATTTTCTAAATTTTTAATTTTAAAAAATGAGTGTGTTCTGTTGTAAAGGGTGTGCACAAGTAAAAGTCAGAGGCAACTCTGTTGGGTCATTTTTCCCCTTCTCCCTTTACACGAGTTCTGGGGATCATATCCCTTTGGAACGCCAGTGCCCTTCTCAGGCATTGCCTTTGCTCACTTAGACCCCTCCCTGACCACTGCTGGTGGTGACACACGCTGAGTGTTGTACCCAAACTGTCTGTGTTTGTGCGTCTCACAGGCTTAGGCTGACTTCACCCCCTGCAATCTGCACCTGCCCCCCAGCCCCGGTCCCAAGAGATCTTTCCTGACACCCTTTCCTAGTCTTCTTGGTCTCTGAATCTCAACAGTTTATATGTCTTCTTATCTCATGTGCTATGTGACTGCATGCACCTTAACTCCCTGACTCTTCACAGATGGGTGCTCTGTGCTCTGTGCGTGAGGTCCTGGGGCACAAAGGGTAAGATGCACATATATACAGGCTTAAGAGCCAAGCTCTCCGAGTTTGGCTTTAGAAGTTTTACCAAGTATCACTGGAAATCATCAGTTTAAAAGTATTAGGAGTTCTGTAAGAAACAACAACAAAAAACTCTTCTCTTTGTTGCACCCTGCCGGAGCAGGAGCAGTGTGGCAGAGTAGGGTAAGGGCATTAATCCGATCCCTGAAATGGGAAGAGTCCAGTCGGCTCAGTCAGATTGTTCACTCCTCTGAGAGAGACAGTACTTACCTGGCATTACTCTTGTGCGTATTACGGCATCATAGAAATGTCAAATGTTATTGTAAGCGTCATTGATGTTCGTTTGTTTGTTTTGCATATAATATTTTTAATTCCAAATAAAATGCTTGTTGGTTCAGGAAAGCTACTAGATGTTTTTCTTAACTTTTACCTCCATTTAATATTCTGTGAAGAATACTACCTTTCATTTCCTTTAATTGACATTTTCATAAATGCATCCTTTCCCAAATGTCTGATTTGCTGAAGTTTTTGTTTTGTTTTATTTTGTTTCTGGCAAAAGTGTATGTATTGAAAATGTACAGTGTGATGGTTTAACAGTCATTATGAAATGTTTCTGCAATCAAGCTAGTTAACATATCCGTCTTCGTGTAGTTACATGTGTGCTATGAAACCTTGAGATGATTCACTCTTTGCAAATTTCCTGTTCAAAATACTGTTTCTTCCTTCTCTAGGTCTGTCTCTTGTTTTTCATCCCCCCACTTCCCTTTCGTCTTTCTCTTCTCTTCTCTTCCTTTTTTCTCCCTGCATTGTTCTAAGGGACCTTCAAATGATGATATGTGCTGTGTCACGCCCCAGACCTCTCAGCTCCATGTTGCACATTAAGCTTCCAGACCTGGTCTTAACCTGGGAGTCTGTGCCCATTGGATCTCATCTCCCGTGTCCTCTACTTTCTGGCCCCTGGACAATATCACCCCACTCTGTATTCTGCTCTCCCATGCATCAGCAGTACTGTTGAATCTTGAGACAGTTGTCTGTGGAGTGTGTACATGTCATGGAAGAATAACAGCAAATTTAGACTGTGGGTGTGGCCACTGGTAAGGTGCTTGCCTAATGAGTTGGTTTTTTGTTTGTTTGTTTGTTTTATATACAATGTGTGAGTCAACAAAGGGAGTATTTATTTAGGCTTGCTAACAAAACTAGCTGCTCTTGTCTTTCTCATCTTCCTACCTTTTCTTCTGTAGACAGGGCTAGAAATAGTTTTATCCTTAAACATACAATGGCTCCATGGTAAAGACATACTCTGAGAAGGTATTAGGTGCTGGGTTTTGTTCTTGTATGAATATGGTATTCTACTATAAAAAGAATACTTGAGAGTATTAATTTACATAATCATAGCTGTCTACATTAATATGTAGATAGATAATAGTCCATATCTCTTTTCTCTTTCCTGCTTTATTTATATTGCCCTTTTATATTTAGGTTAATTAAAGAAAATAAGAATCATCAGGAACTCATCTTAAATATTTGCTCAGAAAAGGACAATTTAAGAGAAGAACTGAAAAAAAGAACAGAAACAGAGAAGCAGCATATGAACACAATTAAACAGGTAAAAAAAAAAAGTCTTCCAAGTCCATAGTTAAATTTATAAAGTAAACTGGAAAAAAAAACCATATAATAAGTTAAAGCACTTCAAATGAGGAAACTGCTTCCTATTTAAAGGGTGAGAAAGAGCCTGAATTATTTTATATAAATAATGATTTGTGTAGTTCTTTTAAAGATGACACATTTTCTGTCCAAACCATGAAAAGGGCTTGACTTGACTTAATTTCTTACCAATTTAGGGAATAATAGTAGTGACACCTAGGCGTTTCTGTCCTGCTTTGGGATCTTGTTCTCACTGTTTTTCTAGTATGGTTTCATTTTGTGAGTTAGTTGTACTGTGAAGGTCGTGTTAGGCTAACTGGTGTCTGTAGCTGGAACTTTCTTCCTTGCTTTCTTTAATGGGTGTGATTCCCCGAATGGTAGCACAGGTGAGGGCTCAGGTTGGGAACAGAGCAAAAGCCGCTGTTGGTTTTTCTGCTGTCTTTCCTTCTGTGGACAGGGTGTGGGTGTCCTGCACTGAGGTGGCAGAACTTAGCACTGGCATGTTCTGAGAAATGTATCCTTCTATGTGGGCCATCGTAAGGTGCCCTTCAACTAAAAGTGCCGTGAGACAGTAGGGGGTGCAGGCAGTCTTGAAGTGTGCCTACACGCCATGGCTCGCACAAGCGTCATCGTGCAAATTTCCTAGAAAGCTGTCTAGTAACACAGCAGCAAACGGCTGGGTAATAAAAAATTAAACTGAGTTTTCATTTATTTGTGATTATTGCACCTTTACATAATTGAAAGAAGGCTGTAAACTGTTGGGTGCAGTAGTTAATTGTGATTTTTGTATGTGTGTGTGTGCTCCAGTTCTACCACATGTAAGCCAGACTTAAAAGGCTAACTGTGAGGGATAGTCAGGATCTGTATTTTGCATTCTTCATTTGCATTGTATATATCAGTTGTATCCTTAGTCTGTTTGGTACAGCTATAAAATATAACCAGAAACCATTCTTCTTGCAGTTAGAATTACGAATAGAGGAACTGAATAAAGAAGTTAAAGCTTCCCGAGATCAGCTGGTAGCACAGGATGCCACAGCTAAAAATGCAATTCAGCAAATCCACAAAGAGATGGCCCAGAGGATGGACCAGGTATTTCATGCCACTATTCACTTGATAGTTTGGTATTCATGTATTAGACTATAACCATTAGGCCATTGTGACTCTGGTGGTATTCATACAAAGAACTTTTAAAAGAAGCAGAGGACTGGTGGGGAAGACTGCTTGCTGATCTTGAAGAGAGGTCAGCAGTTTGCAGTCTAACATCCAATGGGGCAGCTCCTGACCAGCTGTCACTGCAGTGCCCAGGCTCTGATGCCCTCTTGTAGCCTCCAGGACGTTCACCTGCCTGTGCTCAGACAGAGATGCACACATACACATAAAACAAAAATCATAGACAGTGATAAGGCAATCATTGTAAAAAATTAATAAATTAAGGAATATACGGGACAAAAATAGTCACCTCTTCCCGTGTCATGTCCTCAGTCCCTTCCATCACTTTCCTTGTTCCCCAGATAATTACTGACACTTTGTTACATCTCACACACATGTACTAGTGACACCTGCTTGTATATACATACATGTCTTCACTAGCCCCTTTTGTGTTGCTACAACAAAATATTGAGTCTGGAGACTCTATTACAAAAACAGAAGCATATTTATGTTATAGTTCTAGAGGTTTAAGAGCTGGACAACTCAGAGAGAGCCGTTGTGTTAGCTGACTTCTGGTGACTGGAAACGACACTTCACTCTTTCTTCCCAAGCCCCTGCCTACCAACCCTGTCAGCTGAACCAACCCCCTGCCAGTGTGATACAGGATACAGGATCTTGTGAATGTGGACCTCGATGGATGGGCCTCTTCCTAGGGCCCAGAGTGGCACAGAAACTGTCAAGGAAGTGTATCATGTGTAGAGAAGAAGAGAAATATATACACATAAAAACCACAGCCCAAAGTAAAAAGAGTAGGAGAAGGCCGGGGGCTTAGTACAGAAGCAGACACCGACCCTACAGGGATAGATAGTGTTCACCCACAGGTGTCTCCATGGCAAATGTTTTATTAATGCTAGCTAATGCTTTCTTTCCAAGGCCAGTAAGAAATGATAGTGTTCACCACAGGTGTCTCCATGGCAAACGTTTTATTAATGCCAGCTAATGCTTTCTTTCTCTCCAAGGCCAATAAGAAATGTGAAGAGGCCCGCCAAGAGAAGGAAGTGATGGTAATGAAGTATGTGAGAGGTGAGAAGGAGTCTCTAGACCTTCGAAAAGAAAAAGAGACACTTGAGAGGAAACTTAGAGATGCAAATAAGGAATTGGAGAAAAACACTAACAAAATTAAGCAGCTTTCTCAGGAGAAAGGGCGGCTGCAGCAACTTTATGAATCAAAGGTATAACTTGTGCCTCTTTCCCTAGTCCTATGGCGGTGTAGCCCCGAAGCACTCACACTCAGAGTGCTTTTTACTGTCTTGCTTAGATGTGTGTTTTAGGGACATCATTCTCTGTTGGTAGAAAGGTTTTTCTTAATCATTTTAAAAACTTTCTTCTAGAATCTATTGAAAAAAATTAGTTGGTATCTCAAAAATGATCCTTTGATAAAATATGTATATATTAGTGTCAGTTGTGAATAGCTTTAGAATCAAAAGCATAATTTGACCAGAGTCTTGTTTTTTTATTTAATACATTTTCTCCCTGCAGTCCTAGAGATTGGGTATAGGCCTTCATACTGGCTGGGCGAGGTCACCACTGCTGAGCACATCTCCAGGCCTGGCCAGAATCTTAGTGCAATACTCAGTTTACTGGAGAATATAGTTTGTATTTTTTTTTTTTTACTGAAAATTGTATTTATTCTAGAGCTGTCCTAGAAGGTTGAGTAGCTGAAGCCATGGCTATTCAGAGCTCTTGATATTGTCTTTTATGTTGTTCCTGCCTCAGGGATTCTGGCAGAACTTGCTCAGTCATGTTTTACTTTACTGCCAGGCAGTTAAGAAGAATCAGGGTATGTTTGTCTTCCTCTGTATCCATTGTACACTAGGTAAAAATTGCCCTCATGTCTATGAGTTTGATGTAGAGGTTTATCACTCTTATCATTTGAACCTTGAATCAGCTTTATGGCCTGTGGGCCAGTGTCGCCACCCTGGAATCATTGTGTTGCTGCACAGTAAGAGACACGCCGTTGATTGTTTAAGTGAAACATGACCTGATGTCCTTTTAGGAAGGTGAAACGTCTAGACTCATCAAAGAAACGGACAGATTAAAGGAGGAGATCAGCTCTTATGTCATTAAAGTAAAGTGGGCACAAAACAAGTTAAAGGCTGAAATGGACTCACACAAGGTAAGTGTGGCTGTGCGGTGGGGTGCCGTGAGTAGGAAGGGCAGGGTTAGTGACAGCCATGAGGCGGGGCTTTCCCTAGCGACTCCTACAGGGGAGCTTGCATCTGAGTAGTGGCTCATCGCAAGAAAGGAGTTTTCTGGTGTGGCTTACAGTGCTAAATTTTACAATTCAGGTTCTACAACGCCTAAATTCACCATGTTACTTAATCATTTTTTTATACTCAAGATTTGAGAGGATGGAAATTTCAATATGTTACTGGAATTAAAATGAAAAAATTTAAAGTATCTTAAGATGCTTATAATTAAAATACATGTTAATATTTAAATATAATACTGTAATACAAATAGCTTATGTTTTCATAAATATTCTATTGCTATTATACTAGCAAACGTGTGTGTGTGAACACACTTGTGCTAGGCTAATCATCCTCTCACCGAACCACTTGCTGCAAACACCATTTTATTTAAAAACTAATAGAATGAACTGTAGTTATAAAGTCCAGTTACTAATGGCATAGTTTTTTTGGGTTTTTGGGGGGGCGGGTAGGGAGGCGGGGGTTGGAGTTTTGTTGTTGTTGTTTTGGGTTTTTTTTTGAGACAGGGTTTCTCTGTGTAGTCCTGGTAGACCAGGCTGGCCTCGAACTCGCAGAGATCCACCTGCCTCTGCCTCCCAAGTGCTGGGATTAAAGGCATGTGCCACCAACACCCGGCCTGATGGCATAGTTTAAGCACAAATAGAGTTGGTCTTTAGAGAAATAAAAATTTGCAGATGATAAAATAGACAGTAAAATTCAACTCTGAAATGTGGCTTAAACAGAAGAGTGATGTTATGGAAATGGTGTGTCATTTTCCAAGTTTTTAAAAATAGGCTTAATGATGCTGACTAAAACATAATTCCAGGTTGCATTATTATTATTATTATTATTGTTATTATTATTATTATTATGGTTTTGGTTTTTTGAGACAGGGTTTCTCTTGTGTCTTAGCTCTGACTGTCCTGGAACTCACTCACTAGACTAGACTGGCCTTTAACTCAGAGATCTGCTTGCCTCTGCCTCCCTGGGATTAAAGGTTTACAGTACTGCCTGCCCCCCTGGCCAGGTTGCCTTGTTTAGGATTACCAAGTCAATAGAGTTGTGAATCACCTTTGGAGATTTGTGTGTTAGTATCAGAAAACTGTGTTGAGAGTGGTCAAAGGTAGATTAGCAGTGAGCTGTTCTGTTACTCACGACTGATGGGTGTGTGGGAAACTACAGAAAACTCCCAGAAAGCAGTGGGGCAACCTGACTCACTCAGCTACTCCATAATTTCTAACTGCCTGAGTCGCTTTGAGTTCTGAACACAATACCGAGTCATTTCTAATGTCTGTGGCTCTTTCTTTTCCTCCATCTGTGTTCCCGAGAGAGAGTCTTAAAGTCTGTTGGAGTATTGGCATTAAGTATGTATACCTGTGAGTCCTGAGTGTGCCCTGATAGGATGGTGGGAGACTTGTCATGGCAGCCTTGAGAGCTGAAACCAGATAGTTCAGAGAGGTGGCAGAAGGCTGACGAGTTAGGACATAAGCACAGTAAGCATGCTGACCTGCGGTGTGGACACTGGGTGTTTACTGGTTCTTTGTGAGCAAGGACTTTGGTTTTGGCATGAAGCATGAGCCCTGTGTACAGCACTGTTAGGTGATGCGGAGATGTAAGAGTCAGTCAGATGTAAGGCAGTCGCTGGCAGGGTCTGCACTGGGTCTGACTTAACCTGTTCAGTGCATCTGCCCACTGGCTGCAAGCAGGATTTAGTGGTGATTTGGCGGTGTGGGAAACCACGCACATGAGCAAAAGACAGTGGCTGTAAACTTTCTTGGGCCCTGCTTCAGTCATAGGTGCTAACACTGGGATACTATGGGGAGCTCACGAGGGCTAGGGCACCAGCCAGAGTGTGGGGACTCAGCACACAGGGCATCAAGTGACCCTCAGCAAAATACGGCTTTAGTTGTGAGGGCCAGCTTAGACAGCTTCAAGCTTATTTCAAGTAATTTAGCTATGCACTAAGATAAATTATATAAATATTTTCAAATGATTATTTTTAAAAAGCTACCTAAAAGCACACAATTCACTATGGTTGGCACCTAATGAAAAATTACCAGCATGCAAAGAAGCAGAAAATTTCAGTCCATAGAACAAAGGAATCAGTCAATATGAACAGATCCAAAATGACCCATAGTATAGAACAGTAGACGAGGATGTTAAAGTAGAAATTATAGGTATCCTCTATATCTCCAAGGAGATAGATAAAGGCTTCAGTTGGATAAGAGAAGACATGGATAGTATTTAAAGTTAATATTGACACAACGTTCACGATGGAAAACATTGCATAGAATTAGCAGAAGATGAAATACTGCAGAAGACAAGATCAATGGATTAAACAGCAGTGGAAAGGCTTGGCGTGTAACTCAGTTGGTAGAGTGAATGCATGAAGCCCTGCATTCAGTCCCCATAAAACTGAGTCTAGTGGCACATGCCTGTGATCCCAGCACTTAGGCAGGGTTCAGGTTATCCTAGCAAGTTTGAGGCCAGCCTAAGCTGCAAGAAACTCAAAACAACAAAAACCCAGCAGTAGCAAACTTAATGAGTGATTCCCAAATATATAACTCCTACAAATAACATCACTGCGTTCTTTATACCTGACATCTTCAATAATTTACGCTGTCTTAAAATTAGCAAAGTGTTCCTTCCCTGCGTCATCTTTCTATATGAATAAATGACAGCTCATTCGTATAGTTGCTCAAGTCAAAAGGCTTGGGTTCAGCCTTGATTTCTCTTAGCATATCCAGCCTCTCGTCTTACCCCTTTTGTGCCTGTATTTACCCAACGCCTCATTGAAACTGCTTAGCCAGTCTGTGTAAGCTCCAAACCCCTGTCCTAAACTTTGTTTTTATTCCATAGCACCTGTCCCTAATACCCTTTGCTTATGTATTTTATTTATTTATTTTTTAACTCCACCAGTGGGCTGTCAGCTTCATGAGGGTAAAGGTATTTGTTTGCTTACACAGCCATTGCCCTTGAGAATAGAACAGTGTAAAGACTCGGTGGGTCAGGGTGCTTGCTGTGCCAATGAGAACTCAGATCAGATCTCCAAAATCCCATGTGAAGTGAGGGCACTCTGTGGTGAGGTGGAGCCGAGACAGGAGCATCTCCAGAAGCCTGTAGGCTAGCTAGCTAGCTTGGTGCATGCAGCTGCAGCAAGGTGGGCGATGAGGGCTGACAGCTGAGGTTGTCCTCTGACCTCTGCACACATGCACTCACATGCATGTGAGATCTAACAGAAAAGGAATAGTGCCTGGAAGTGCTCAGGTAGATCAAACACAGTAAGCATCATTAACCTAAACACAATGCGATTCTTACTTGGTTTATCAAATGTTCCTTTTAATTAGTAACATTTATTTGGCACACAGGAGTTACACTTGCTGGTTTTTGGAATGGGCCAGAACAATATGTCAGCTGTGTCTTAGTTCTGATAGTGAAGATACAGAACCGCAGTGTTACCTACTCTAAGATTCTTTGATTTCCAGATTATTATGTTATTCCTATTTTAAGTGATACTGGATTTTAACATGTGGCCATTTACTGTCAAAAACCAGCGGCTCAGGGAAGAAAAGTGAGTGCTTAGTTTTGATGTGTGTTGTTAGGGTGACATATGGAATAGCCTGTGCAGCCTAGGTGCAGTGCTGACCTTTAGGAGAGAAAGGCAAAGCTGTTCTAACCATCGGAACAAGGAGAGTAGTAAAGGGGCCAGACACCAACCTGCCTGGAGCAGGAGCTGCTGCCTGGCGTCTCTCCATGGATGCAGTAGGTTCCAGTCACTGCTTTCTCTCTCACCACTGTGCCAGCACACCTGACACACCAGCAGAAGGTCTTTTTGGTCATAGTTTTGCATGAAGGCAGGGAAGGCAAGACTGGCAGTCAGGAGGCTGGGAGAGATCACCCTCTGGTGAGCACAAAGCCAGCAAGGAATAACGAAGATGCACGGAACAGAGTCTGTATGTTTTTAGCAGGAACAGAGGCAAGGGGTGTTTGAGGAATCAGGGCGGTCAGGACTAGAACAGGGGACTAAAGAATAAGAGAAAAAAGCAACTGGTTTTGATGAGAGTAATCCTTCAAAATCCTGTGTGAAGAATTGCTATTTTAGTCGAGAGGCTAGAAACAGACCATATTGGTATCTACTGAAGTCAAAGGGAGCTTCAAATAGATGTCACAGCCACAACCAGAAGATCTCTGGGATGTGCACAGAACTTCTGAAGCCTCAGACCCACCCCATGTGACACACTTCCTCCAACAAGGCCACACCTCCAGTAATGCCACTCCCTGAGTCTGTGGGGGCCATCCTCATGCAAACCACCACAAGCAGGGCCATCTTTGCTCTTACTGTTCTTCATATCACTGTGGTTAATTTTTCTCTGTCACTTTGTCACTGCAGGAAACCAAAGATAAACTCAAAGAAACAACAACAAAATTAACACGGGCAAAAGAAGAAGCTGATCAGATCAGGCAAAACTGTCAGGATATGATAAAAACATACCAGGTATGTTTCCTTTCTGAAATAGACTATCAGAACTCTGTTTTCACGGACTTTCTCTATCTGCCAAATTTGAAGTGTACATGGATTTCTTAGGGCCCTGAAGGGAAAATGCAAGTTAGTTCCTGCAGTCTGGGGGGGGGGGGGGGGGGGGACGGGGGACTGGTGTGATGGGGAAAATGAAGACCTGAGCACTCACATAAAAAGCTGGGTGTGGCACCTTACTTCTGTTCCTTGGCGTTGTCCGGGTGAAGAGAGGTGGGGCAGGCAGATCCTTGGAGCTCACTGGCCAGCCAGTTAGCCAAGTCAGTCAGTTTGAGTAGGAGGCCTGCTGTCACCTCAGGCCTCCATGGGCACACAGGCAACACAATTGTACCACGTATGTGGCTCGGACTCATCTTATTAGAGATCTTTGCATCAAAAAAATCCTAGAAAATGTCAGAATAATGAAGAGAACAAGGACATGCACAACTCAAAACAAAACAAAGGACCACTCTTCTGTAATATGTTGTGACCCCAAAGTGCACTATTCGCCAGGCGTTGGTGGAGCATGCCTTTAATCCCAGTACTCGGGAGGCAGAGGCAGGTGGATCTCTGTGAGTTCGAGGCCAGCCTGGTCTACAGAGCAAGTGCCAGGATAGGCTCCAAAGCTACACAGAGAAACCCTTTGTCAAAAAAAAAAAAAAAACAAAGTGCACTATTCTTGTTTCTGAAAGTTATTTAAAATCATTCAGTGCATTCTCCAGTTTTAGCTGCATAATCTACACATAATTAATAAACTTGGCTGCAAGGCTTTGTTCATTTTCAAAGTCTTTTTCGTTGTTTTTACATTAGGAGTCAGAAGAAATCAAGTCAAACGAGCTTGATGCAAAGCTCAGAGTCACAAAAGGAGAACTTGAAAAACAAATGCAAGAAAAGTCTGACCAGCTGGAGGTGAGTTTCGTTTTCCTGTGTTGTATAAGGGATATACGATAGGCCAGACTCTGTAGTGCAGACGGGAATGGAGCACTGGTGACTGTCTGCACCTGAGGCCTTTTTAGAAGCCAGAAGTGGTCAGAAAACTGCTAGTGTGTGTGTGTGTGTGTGTTGCATTAGGATCTGTGTCTTTTCCAGCTGCATCATGCCAAAATAAAGGAACTGGAAGATCTGAAGAGGACATTTAAGGAGGGTATGGATGAGCTCCGGACACTGAGAACAAAGGTAAGCAAGCCTCAGGCCTGACTCAGACTCAGAGCTGGGGAAACACCCTTTACTTAGAATTGACTCTTACCCTTAAAGGGTTAGGGAAGGGACACTTATAAGTTCTTTGAAATAGCATTTTCTTGGCAATGCAGCGGACTTTGTTGAGCTGAGGTGCCGTTAGTCACTGGGAGGGCTTGCCATCCATCCCTGTTGGTGGCACAGTTGCAGTGTCTGAACCTTACGGGTGGGCTTCCAGAGCTAAGGACAGTAAAGCAGTTGGCAGGGTGGGCGGACCTCACAGTGGTGCCAGCATAAAACACTCTTTAAGACTGGGAATACCTCTGGCTATATTGAACAGTATTTAACAGGAAGATGGGTGACATTGGTGATTCCCGTGGTCATCATCTTTGTTGTCAGAGTAACTGCCCTTTTAGTATTCTTGTGCTGTCTCCACTGTAGTGACTTTTATTTGGAAGTAGGGTTTGTGCAGTGTGTACCATGTTCAAGGCTGGCATGGGAGGGAAGGTTGGTCTTGTTGAGATAAGGAGATGGGATCAGTAAAAGCAAAGAGACATGATACCAACTTCTCCCCAGCACTGTAGCATTATCTCAGGCTGCTGTGTGTCTGTCCATCCTGTCTGAGGTAGTTCATACGAAACATGAAGGTCTGTGCTTCGCCTTGACTGTGATCATCTTACAGGCGAAATGTCTGGAAGATGAACGCTTAAGGACTGAAGATGAATTATCAAAATACAGGGAAATTATTAATCGTCAGAAATCGGAAATTCAGAATTTACTGGACAAAGTGAAAATGGCAGATCAGGTACAGGAGCAGCTTCAAAGGTATGAAATCAGCAAGAAGCTTTTAATTCTGTCTCCAGGTAGCCTCTTTAAGTACAACCACAATATCAAAGAAGAACAGTTTTATAATTCTTCAATTTGTGTCTTTGACACAAATTGCCAAAAGCCAAACCAAAGTTTGTATTTCATAGCCATGACAGGAATCATTCATAGATGGGGTGAATTTAGTTTATCTGCTTTTAGCTTCACAGTTGTCACCTAGATCTTTAACTGTGTGTGTGTGTGTGTGTGTGTGTGTGTGTGTGTGTGTGGTTTAAACTTGATTCATGATCCCATCCAGCAGAGCCTGGGTTCGGGTTTACTGTCTGTGCTGCCATCTCCATGAAGAAGTGCTCCTTGCCCTCAGTCGCCTTCCTCAGCTAGAGGACAGTGTGCCCGTGAACGGCCCTGTCCCCTCCTAGCCTGTGAGCAGTGACAGGAAACAGAGGAGCTGTTGGTGAATCTTCTTTGAGCTGCCGGCATTCACAAGCATTCTCTCCTGTCATTGTGCTAGAGAAGTTCCTACTCAGAGTTGGATTATTCCTTCCACCTCTGCTGTGGGTCCTGATTACTCCTTTATCTCTTCTCTCTGCCGACTTTCCTTTGATCACCTATAGGATCTTAAACGCTTGTGTGTGTATGAAGGGTTATCTGCCTGGATGTGTGTGCCTCACTTGCGTATCCAGTGTGCATTACATGCATTCCTGTGTACCACTGGAGGCCAGAAGAGAGAGGGAGGTCTCTGGAACTGGAATTACAGAACCACCATGAGCCACCATGTGGGTGCTGGAAACAACTTGGGTCTTCTGCAAGTGCAGCCAGTGCTCTTAGCCACTGCCCCATCTCTCCAGCCCCTGTAAACAGAAGGCCGTTTAGAACATAGCCACAAGGATCCATTGAGTTTTGTCTGTGGCTGTTTTCACAGTACAGTGACAAAATACAACTGAAGCAAATAACAAAAAAAAAGGAAAGCATGGCTCAGAAACCTGACTTCCACAGGATGGTTCACACCTAATGAGCTCAGGCAGCCTGCCTGCTCAGTGTGTCATCACACGCCTGGCATTAACATGATCACTAGAAATGCTCTTTGGAAGCAGGGCCCTGCTAGCCTTGCTCCCTTCCTGTAGCATGAGAGACTATCTTGAGTGTTTGACTGGACGCATGATTACCAGTACCTCTGTAAAGCATGCTAGTAAGAAAATTCCCACACCGTTAATTTAATGTTTTTTAGTAGCTTGCTTAATTTTTCTTAAATATAAACTTTGTTTTTTAGTGGTAAACAAGAAATTGAACATTTGAAGGAAGAAATGGAAAGCCTTAATTCTTTGATTAATGACCTACAGAAAGACATCGAAGGCAGCAGGAAAAGGGAGTCTGAGCTCCTGCTGTTCACGGAAAAGCTCACTAGTAAGAACGCACAGCTGCAGTCTGAGTCCAGCTCTTTGCAGTCACAAGTGGATAGCCTCTCCTGCAGTGAGAGCCAGCTACAAAGCCAGTGCCAGCAAATGACACAGACCAATGCTAACTTGGTGAGGATAAATGTCCATGCTGTTCCTCCTCTTCCCGGGCCTATGCCTGCGTGTAGTAGGTGCACCACGTAGTGCCTGCACAGGCCAGCAGAGGGCGCTGTTCCCCTGTCCATGTACCACATAGTGCCTGCATAGGCCAGCAGAGGGCGCTGTTCCCCTGTCCATGTACCACATAGTGCTTGCATAGGCCAGCAGAGGGCGCTGTTCCCCTGTCCCCTGGAGGAGCAGCAGGGCTCTTAACTTCTGGGTCATCTCTCTCCAGCCCCCAGCTTCAGTTCTTAAAACAACACAGCAAGAAGCACAGATTGAATTTCTCCAGTAAAAAGTATAGTGTAATTAGCTTTATGTTCTTTTAGTAATATCTGGTCATTTTAAATTTTATAAAGATATATTTGCTTTTCTGTTTAATGGACATAATTCATATATTTTTTTCTAAAATGATAAAGAATATTATTACATTTTCAAAAATAAGCAAACTGTGATTTCTGTCATTCCTAATTGGAGTTTCCATTTTTAGGGTACTTATTTACTTAATTTGATAGTTTAGAATGCTATATTCCTGAGTAATAAAAGTGCCATTTCATTGCTCATAAACGTAATTTGAGCAAATGGGGCAAGTGGTGGCGCAGTCGCTCTGAAGGCAGAGGCAGGTAGATCTCTGTGAATTCAAGGACAGCCTTGTTTACATAGTGAGTTCTTAGGCCAACCAGGAATACGATGAGACCTTGTCTCCAAAAAAAAAAAAAAAAAAGAAGTCTTTTCAGAAATTGAGACACTTCCACTGTAGCTGTGTCCCACACCTAGTGTCCCTCCACCCTGCTGATGTTTCCTGACTGCTGGGTGAGGATGGGGAGGAGCTGTCCCAGAAGGGTCTATCTCCCTTTTAAGTTGTAAACTGAGCAATTGAAACTGAGCTTTTAAGTTGTAAACTGAGCAATTGAAAAGACAGATGGGTGCTTTGTGCCCACCTCTTGCTTTCTGTTCAGGAGAGCAGATTGCACCGAGAGGAAGAGCTGCGGAGAGAGGAAGTACAGAGCCTGCAGGCCGAGCTCTCTGCCACTCAGGCAGAGGTCAAAGCCCTGGGCACCCAGGTGGAGGAACTGAAAGACGAGTTAGTGACACAGAGGCGCAAGCTTGCCGCCAACGTCAAGGACCTCAGCAAGCAGCTTCAGCAAGGTACTTGTGTTTCATGTTGACCCCGCTGTTAGAGATCTGATGCGGGGGACGCACTGTCTCTGCGTGCTCTCACGTGCTCTCAGCTGTGTGGTTGATTTTTTTTTTCTAGGCTCAGGTTTTGTCACCATCCTTGTGGGAGAGTTGTTCTGAATTTATATCTCACTCTTAAAGGGACGTGCCACTGTGCCCAGCCTGTGTATTCTTTTTCACTGTGTTAATATCCACAAACTGAATTACAAATACTAGGGTGGCTAAACTTGCCATTCTGTGAGAAATCTGCTTTCATGCTAAAAGCTATTTATTCACAAAGCCACAGAATATGAAAATCAGGAAAGTCCCTTGCCTGGTAGAGAGAATCTAAAACTTTTTATTTTGCAGAAGTTGTTTAAATGTGCTTTTCCCCCAAATATGTATGCTAATGCCTGCCTGTAACCCAGAAGGATCAAGTTCCTTCTCGGCTACATAGTGAGTTCAAGACCAGCTGAATTGAGTTGTTTCTTTTTTTCCAAGATCTATTTTTATGTGTGGGTATTTGGCCTGCACACTGTACACATGTGCTCTGCTGCTCACGGACACCAAAGGAGGCCCCGGATCCTCTGGAACTGGAGTTATGATTGTGAGCCACCATGTGGGTGCTGGGAATTGAACCACGGTCTTCTGGAAATGCAGTCAGTGCTCTAATCTCTGGTCCATCTGTTGCCCTGTTTTTTGCGCTTACACGTGAAGGTAGATTTGGGAGGCATTTCTGATATTGAGAAGGATCTGAAAGTTAAAGTCAGTGGAAGCAAGCAGCGCTGCTCTCAGTTGTGGTGAATGGCATCTCTAGTGTTCTAAGATACAGATCATTGTCTTGTGGTCTATGTCGGTTTTACCCAAGTGACTTTAGCAGTTAATGTCAGATAGCATGAGCAAATGGTCATTAAGACGGTCACAAGTAATGCATTTCTTTTTCTCGTAGCACGGAGAAAATTAGACCAGACTGAGAATGGAAACTACGACAGAGAAGTCAGCAGCATGGGGAGCCGCTCTAGCTCATCAGGTGAGAGCGAGCCTGCTTGACAGCAATTGTCTAAAAGCTAATCTTTTAAGAAGTATTTGTATGCTTTGTTAGAAGTTACATATAATCATATTATGGAAAGTGTATCTGATTACATATTTACATTCTGCTCTTTGCCAAGGCTCCAGCTTTGTCTTGGGCTCTGTGTGAGCCCCATTTTCTTTACCTGCAACTTTCGTATTCTGTGCAAAACTTCCTCTTTTAATTTCTGAAATTCAGATTTGTATCTAGCCAGATCTTGTGTGGACTCCCTTCCTTCCAAATTCTAATGCCTCAGAAGTGGTAGAATGGCCATCCTTATGTAGCCTCAGGCTTACGCCTACGTTTCTCCTTTGGTATCTGAGGGCATTGTCTCCACAGCATGCAGTGGACAACAGAGTCTTTTCTAAGATGTGAAGTCTCTGTATGTATCCTCCACAGACTTCAGATCATCTGCAGACCACTTATCTGGAGGGTGTAGATAGTATCCACTGGCTAACACAGTATGAATGCTGAGGATGGAATTGTTAAGCTGTTTGTGTAGGACATAAGAATCTGTACGTGGTTAATGTAGACACTTTTTAAGTGTTTCCTATTTGGGGTTTGATGAACCTATAGATGAAAATCTCACACATATGGTAATCTCAAAGCCTCAGCAGCAGTAACCATAGTAACAGAACCTGTGAACAGAAAGTACCTGGTTCAGAATCACCACTGTATCTGGTCCCTGCTGACCCCATCTTACTTGGTTGTGTAATGGAGCTAGGGTATCTTTTCCTCGGGTCTGTAACATGGCTGCTAAGGCCATTGGTGTTGGGTGAAGAGGCTCGTTGACCTCCCAGGGTCTGCTGGGATGCTGGCGTTAACAGAGGCTAGTGTGGAGCTCAGACACTGCATGCCTTGTTATAATGGCTCTAAGTGAGGGTGATAATCCCATGAGTAAATTACTATTTTTAGCAGCAATAACTTGGGCACTGAGGGTAAATCATGTGTCCAAAGCACACTAGAAATGTGACCAGTGAATGCATTTCAACAGTGGCAGCGTGCACTTTCTCTTCTCCCCTGAAGCACGCACCCCATTGCCTCTCCTACCTCTTGTGTTTTTTCTCCTCAATGTCTTATCATTTACTTTTGAGCTCTTTAGGCTTGCTATTCATTTTTTATTTTTTAAGATTTTCTCTTTTGCCAGCTCTTTGTCTCGTTCCTATGAGGTGTAAAAGACACTGCTGACCACAGATGTCATGTGTTTTCACAAGTAGCCCATGTGTTCTTTGCCCAACATTGGACAGTGCTGCTGGAACGAATGAGTTGAGGGGACCTAGGTCACACACACTGACTGAGCTTGCTTTTCTGTCTTCAGGCTCACTTAATGCTCGCAGCAGTGTTGAAGATCGATCTCCAGAGAATACCAGCTCCTCAGTGGCTGTGGACAACTTCCCAGAAGTGGACAAGGCCATGCTGATTGACAGGATAGTGAGGCTGCAGAAAGCTCATGCCCGGAAGAATGAGAAGATAGAGTTCATGGAGGACCACATCAAACAGCTGGTGGAAGAGATGAGAAAGAAAACCAAGTATGTATTGCTGTGGTAGCGCCAGCCGTGTTAGAGGACGGCCGCTCAGGTGGCCTCAGACGCTGGCTGATCTTTTCTGTGGGTTCACCATGTTATCCAGGCTGGCATTGCATTCCTGGGCTCACAAGATCCTTCTGCATCAGCTCCTGGAGTAGCTGGGACTATAGGCAAGCGGCTCTGTGCCCGACCTAGTGATTCCTACAGCATCCCGGGCTCCATGTGTTGTGATCACCTCTTGTCTTCTAGGTTTAGGGGATACGAAGATGATAGAAAACCAAATCTCTCCTTAAAGACGGAACATCAGGAGAGATAGTGAATGGGGGTTAGGGGGACTAGACTCTTTTCTTTAATGTATTTAGCTTTTAAAAGTGAATGACTCTACCAGATATGTGGAGTTTTGAGAGTTTTTCCTCTGGTGAGAACCGAATGGGGTAATGATTAAGTTCCTGCTGGTGTAAAGACACTGTACTTTGGTCAATCAGTTCCTTGGGTCCACTCACTCAAGCCCCCTCAGCAGCAGTGTGTGTGTGCTCTGGATCTTCAGGTTAGTTCACTAAGTCTAAGACCAGCCATTACCTGCGAGGGACAAACCCCAGCTACACCCAAACCCAGCTTGACTGAGCCACAGTTTGTGTGGCATTACGATCCTCACAAACACCACACTTCTAAAGTTATTCTGAAATAATTTTAGACCTATAGAAAAGTTTGCTTGTAGATTTGAAAAGAAAGGACAAAATAGAGTTTAATAGAAATTAACAAATCAAATCAATAAAGTAATGACTAAAATATTTACATACAAGTAAGAAAAGGAACAGAAAACCTGTGTTTAGATTTCTCTAATACCATGATACATTAGAAAAGGGACAGTTTAGGAGACCATCAAGTAAGGAAAATTCTACAAGTTAGGTTTTTAGCCTAACATGTATATTTTATGCTAATCATCTTTATGCTTGTGATTCAATGATTCTTACAAACCCCAGTGTTTTTATTCTGCAAGCACACAGAGTATCATTTTGTTTTGCAGAATAATTCAGAGTTACATTTTACGAGAAGAATCAGGCACACTTTCTTCAGAAGCCTCTGACTTTAACAAAGTGCATTTGAGTAGACGCGGTGGCATCATGGCGTCCTTATACACGTCCCACCCCGCTGATAGCGGGTTAACCCTGGAGCTCTCTTTGGAAATCAACCGAAAATTACAGGCTGTTTTGGAAGATACATTGCTAAAAAATATTACTTTGAAGGTATTTGTGTTTCTTATTCATTACCACTCAGTAAGTGTGGCAGAATGATGCCTCTTCATAGTCTCAGCTAGCACAGGGCTGTTTACCTAACACAGGATACCATGGTGCCCAGAGATAAAGTCAGCCTCCGATGCTGAGGTGGGTTTTTCACTCACCATGGATGGCTTTTGCCATATGACTATAATTAATTATAATTTTTTAATATTACAGCATTTTAAGTGTATTTTGTGGCTTTTTTTTTTTCCCTAGCTATTGTCTGACCCAACTTTTCTGTCTTTGCTATGTATGCATGGGCCTTGATAGTTAGTAATAGAATTTAAAAATAGTTTTAAATCTAAGTAATCATTATACATTAAAACTTGCTGTAGCTGCAGTGAAAAGATTATAACTTTGGGTGGGATGTGGTGGCTCACACCTTTAATCCCAGAGGAGTTCTGTGAGTTTGAGACTAGCTTGGTCTGTCTACAAAGTGAGTTCCAGGATAGCCAGGACTGCAGAGAGAAACCCTGTCTCAAAAAACCAAAAAAAGAAAAAGAAAAAGAAAAAGGTCAGGCCCATTTCCCTAAAACACGTGTGTCTAGTTTGTCCCTGTACCAAGAACTAATCACTCAGTTTCAGTTTAGGCAAGAGCAGTCAACAGGGTACTTGTATTATACTCAGTACTTGTGTTTTCTCTTCCCCACTTATTAAAGGAAAACCTGCAAACACTTGGAACAGAAATAGAACGCCTTATTAAACACCAGCATGAACTGGAGCAGAGGATGAAGAAAACCTAACACAAAAGCTCTTGCCCAGTAGACAAACGAGCCACAGAGCAGCAGGTGCCACTGTCCAGTGTCCTGAAACAGCCCTTGCTTTGTGTCAACTAATCAAAGATTGCTTTCACTTCCCTGTGTAGAAGTGCCCTTTTTTAATGCATTGGTGTGTATGCCGTAACTGTGAGCCCAGTGAAGCCCATTTCTTTGCGGTGCAGTTCAGCCACCTTGTCACTGACTCAGCATCTAAAGTGCTAAACATTAGTACAAGGGTTAAAACCAAACTTTGCCATAGTTCTTCCCTTTGTGATTTCAGCCTTTGAAAGGTATTCCATCCAACCATTTGTTATCTCTGCATCACTGAAGGACACCTAGAGAAATCATGAAGCTTTTTCGTTTTGATCTGGACACAGTGATCACCCTGTAGTTCTAGCTACTTGAAAGGCTAAGGAGGATCTGGAGCTCATGAGTTCAAAGCCAGCCAGGGCAACATCTCAAAACCCCACCACAATTAGCCTGAATCACAGAGTAGCCCTGAGTTGTGCTCTGCACATGAAAACTTAATTCTGATTGCAGTGACAGCTGGACAGGGAAGCTAGCTGCTGGTGACTAGCCGCGACAGGCTCTGTTACATCTGTCAGACTTCCTTGTTTGTCACGGCTTCATTTTCACATTTGAGTTGTTGAATTTTTTAAATCTTCAGTTATTTAAAGTATGATTTTAAACAATGTGTGTACTTACACATTACCTGTGGACTTGCTATATTTTATAACTGTGAGATGAATCCAGTCGTTAGGACATAGAGACTTTGGAACTGACATGCTTTAGTCTTACTGACATTGTATAGAGGTGAATGTAACAGGCTTAAGGCAGTGGTTCTCAGCCTGTGGGTCGAGACCCTTTCACAAGGGGGTCACACATCAGACACTTACATTACAGCTCTTAACAATGGCAAAATTACAGTTATGAAGTAATAACAAAAATAGTTTTATGGTTGGGGTCACGACGACATGAGGATTTGTATTAAAGGGGCGTGGCATTAGGAAGTGTGAGAACCACTGAACTAAGGTGTTTATGAAGACCCCATCCCCAAGAGAAGCCAGCACATGGTTGGGGTCACCACGACATGAGGATTTGTATTAAAGGAGCGTGGCATTAGGAAGTGTGAGAGCCACTGAACTAAGGTGTTTATGAAGACCCCATCCCCAAGAGAAGCCAGCACTTAGCACTGTTAACTTTTCATGTGTGCATCCATTCTTAATTCTTGATAGTTAATTACATAGCATAATGAAACAGTTTCCCCAAATGTGATGTTTCAGTATATTATTTCAAACACAGTTATATCTTCAAAGCCAAAGGAACTTTTGAGCCAGATCATTGTATCTTGTTGGATATTTACAGTGTTTAAGATGTATACTTAAATGTTGCCAATCTTAGTACCAGTGTTTTTGTCATTGGATTTTGTTCTCACCTACCAGAACCTAAGTACTGCACTATGTTCAGACGGTCTGTGTCCTGGGAGACCTTGGAGAATATTTGGCAAGCCTGTTTTGTGTTTGGGCATTTTTCTTCCTCTTAAGGAACTTGAGCTTCGGGGGTAGATACCTTTAAAGAATGGTATGAGCTCTAGGTGGGCATAGTAACATATGCCACAATCCCAGAGGTATAAGGAGATTAAAGTCCAGCCTCAAGTACAAAGTGAGTT